GCCGCCTCCCTCTAAAGGCATCGAAAACATTGATGAGTACTGCATGCTCCCTCTCCAAGGACACCCAATTTTCTGTTTTTACATTTTTAACTACTATCCACCACTAATAAAAACACCCATGTAGCCAATTCAATATTTACATGTAAAGCCCATTACGGGCAAGTCAAACCATCTAAAGTGAAGTGGGAGTATAGAGAGAGGAGAAAGACTAAATTGAAATAGAGTTGGAGGAAGACATTAAGTACTGTATCCCCACATGCCCACCTCTCTCTAAAGGCATCGAGAGCATTGATGGACATTCAATTTTCTGTTTTTACTTTTTCTTGAACTGGCATAAGTAGCTAAATGTTGCTATGTTCTTGCATCATTCCAGTTCACCAAAATTTTCTAAGTAGCTGCATTCCTCCTTCTGGCTAATTCCTTATCTATCTCCCAAATTTCAGCCACATTTTCATTCCCTTTGAGACAAGAAACCTTGTCTCTGCAATTTAGATGAAGGTTTAGGTACATTTTTAAAATTTAATCCATTTTTCCCAATCAACCTGCTCAAAGTTGTTATTACACACCTATGGAGCAGGTGGAACTTGAGCTCAGACCCCTCCCTGGTTCAGGGTAGGGATATTACCACTGCACCACAAGAGGCCTTCCCTATAGGTGTATTTTTGTTCTCTGTGCTCAAGGATCTGTGTTGTTTTTTACTAAAACAAAAAAGGGCCCAATTGTGCCCTATTCCTCCCCACAAATCACCTTTTTATTAAATTTTAATAGAGAGACAGAAAAAAGGACACCGTTGCGAATAGATTTCATTCCTTTTTTCACCATCAGGAAAATACCCATGTAGCCAGTTGCATATTAACAAGCAAAGCCTGTTAAAGGCTATACTGACATCAAAAAAGTGATGGGAGGGTGTTTAGGGAGAGAAGGAGGGGGAAATAAAGCACTCCACCCCTCACAGTGCCTAAAGTATTCGAGACCATTGATGCACTGTTATGGACCAGGCCAGATCACCTCAAAATATTTTAAGAAGGTAGTCTAGAACCTGACTTTTTCTTATTTTAAAGATAGATATGAAAAGCCATGTTCCAGTTGCAATATAACTGGTCAAACTACACGTTGTTAAGCAAAATACAATTGATTTAAACACTATTGTTAAAATACAAACAAAAGAAAGAGTTATTAGAATAACTTAACTATTGGAAAACTTAACTAAATAATAGATACAGTAACTATTACAAATTAACTGTTCCAATATAGTAACATCCCAAAGACACACACCTTAGCAAAAAGGCAAATGCAGACACAGATTCTCACATGCAGTTCTCCAATCCAAGAGGAAAAATCATCCAGAGAAAATACAGAGATAGCAGCAGCCAGGAAACATTCACTGAAGTTCCCAACTCTACTGAGACCCCAAGAGCTTCTGATGTTATCGAGAAAAAAAACAAAACCTATAAATCTGGATCTGACGGAACTGGCCACAGCCATTCAGGCTGTTAAAAAAGGCACAACACCTCACAAATTGCTTACACAAGTCATCCTCAGTAGCCAGCCTGCACCTCTACTTTACAATCTCTCATCAAAAAGACGAAATAACTTTTAAACTGACAGCATTGTCACATAGACACCCAATTTTCTGTTTTTCTAAATTTAACCTATTTTTCTAAATCAACCTGTTCAGAGATGTTATGACACAGATCTGGAGCAGATGGGACTTGAACCCAGGCCTCATGGTTCAGGGCTAGGGACTCTACCGCTTTTAGCACATTGTACCATATAATCACCACCTGTTCTTTGCTAAAGCAAAATCAATTTAATTCCCTATTCCACTCACTAAAATATTGGCTCATTTTTCTCTTAAGATTTTTTCTCCATTGACTTGCTGTATCAAAACAGTTCATGCTCAAACAATTCTGCATTTAAGTTTTTATTTTAACTCATTTCTCCTTAGTTTGAGAATTTTAATCAATAGCCACTTGTCATTGGAGTTCTCAGGGGAAAAATATATTCCCTATTCAACTTAACAAAATAATTCCTATTAAGTCTTCCCATAGTCCTCTCTGTTCCTCTAGTCTGGAAATAGTGTCATTGTCTCACCTTTCTCACCCCCAGCATCACAGCAGTAAATTTAGAATATACACATATTCTACAATGATGAACTTAGATTATATAATTTCATTTGCATGTTTATGATAATTAGAGTTCAACTAGCTTATTCTATATAACTTTATCTACCTCCAATTACACTCTCGGGTCTTTATGTATCTAATCAGGTTGGCCTCTACAGCCCTTTACAAGTTATCAGCTAGAATAAGTATTTACACCCAACACGAGTCATAGTGTCAGAGATGAACAGCATGGAAACAGACCCTTCGGTCCAACTCGTCCATGCCAACCAGATATCCTAAATTAATCTATTCCCATTTGCCAGAATTTGGGCCATATCTGTCTAAACCCTTCCTATTCATATACCCATCCAGATGCCTTTTAAATGTTGTAATTGTTCCAGCCTCTACCACGTCCTTTGGCAGCTCATTCCATACATACACCACCCTCTCCATGTAGAAGTTGTCCCTTCAGTCTCTTTTCAATCTATCCCCTTTCACCTTAAACCTATGCCCTCTCATTTTGGACACCCCCCACCCTGGAGAAAAGGCCTTGTCTATTCACCCTATCCATGCTCCTCATAATTTTATAAACTATGATAAAAGGTTACCCTTCAGCCTCTAACACTCCGAGGAAAATAGCCTCAGTTCAAATCCTCCTACCCTGGCAACATCCTTATAAATGATTTCTGAACCCCTTCAAGTTTCATAACATTCTTCCCATAGCAATGAGACCAGAATTGAACACAGTTTTACAAAAGTGGCGTAACCGATGTCCTGCACAACTGCAATATGCCATCCCAACTCCTATGCACTGACCAATAAAGGTAAACATACCAAACGCCCTAAATAAAAACCAAAAGAACTGCGGATGCTCGAAGTTAGGAACAAAATCAAAAGATGCTGGAAAAGCTGAGCAAGTCTGGCAGCAACTGCATAGGAAAAAATCAGAGTTAACATTTCAGGTCCAGTCACCGGACCCGAAACATTAACTCTGATTTTTTTCTTCACGGATGCTGCCAGACCTGCTCAGCTTTTCCTGCAACTTTGGTTTTTATACCATACACCATCTTCATTACTCTGTCTAACTTCGACTCCACTTTCAAGGAACTATGAACCTGCACTCCAAGGTCTCTTTGTTCAGCAATGCTCTCCAGGACCTTACCATAAGCTGAAGTCTCCTTAAACTTGTCCATTTTCATCCCTCACAAGAATGAGATGCTCCTGACATTTCAGACAAGTATTAATAATAACAGCAAGGTGGGAAGTGGAGGAAAGAGATTTACAAAGAGATGGCAAAAAAAATGCCTTCTGCTCAATCTCACTTTTGTTCTCGAAACTGCTGGTGGCTGTGAACTGTCACTTTTCGTATTCACTTTCTATTGAATAGCTATTTGCTTAAATTACACCGAAGAGCCATCCAGCATCATATAGAAATCCCAGCAAGCGCCACAGGGCAAGTTTTCTCCTTGTTGATTTCTATAGAAATGGAATATCTGTCTGGGAAAAAGTCACATCAGTCAATTTCAACGATGCCCAGTCCTGGCCATCAGCTCCCAGAAACAACGGCCTTCAGTAACCAGGACCACTGCCGCGTTATTATGACTGTAGCTCACCGAATGAAGTGGACCTCCTCCCCTCTCCGGCCTGGTCTTGCCCGCTGGTCCAAGCCGGGCCGGGCCACCCGCAATCAGCGCCTCCCGCGTTGTTGGCAACGCCGAGCGTCCCCGGTAACCTGACACGACAACAGCCAGCCTTCCGGAAATGACGTACGCTGAAGGGGCGGTGAGTCGTCGCAACAAAAACCGCACGGCGTCTTCAAGCGCCGTCCTCCTGCCGGGTGTGGAGAAGCTGCAGCCGAGTGCGGGGTGCTGCCTGTCCCTTTAAAGGAGGAGTCAAGCCGTTAGAGTGACTGCCGCGTGCCCCCCCGCTCCTAAAACCCCGGCGGGCCAGTCCACTTGGAGTTCATAAAAAGAGCATCAATGAAAGGAGGGGGTGCGGGAGAGTTCAATTTGAAATAATCACATTCGTGTCGGAGACTAATCTCACAAATGTGCGTTGCTTATTATAGAGACAATGATTAAGACATGGAGTCTTTGCGCGTTAAAAGGGAAATGCGGGGATTTGAACTTTAATGAAACATTCTCAGCTGCAGGATCTCCCTACGTCGGGTGGACGATCTGACCGCTCCATCTCTCAGTGAGCAATCCGGAGAGGGGATCTTATAATATGGTGATTATTTATGTGTAGCAGAACAACTTTAGCTAAGAATCATTCCGTCACGTAAATTATTTTAAAGTGTACTGTATTTTATAAGTCTCATAAAGTCCGATCTTTTGCACTTTTTTCCCTGACATGGCTGATTCACTTTCCCTTACCCCCCCCCGCCAATCCAGCCACTACCCCAGCCATTCCCAGGACGCGGTATCTTGCTGACCCTTGACCCCGGTCGTCATTTAGCCCCGGAAGTAGTCGCCGTGCCGGTCCCCTGAGCCGGAGCAGCTGAGGCGGCGGCGGTGGTGGAGAAGAGCAGCCGGACGGAGGGAAACGGAGTTGCTTGTACACCGCAGCCCTAGAGCGGGAGGTGGGACTGGCAGGGGACAGTGCTAGGAATCCATGTTCCCGTCTCATAAATCACAGTCTGGGGAAGACGGCGAGCAAACCTGGCTCTGCTCACTGCCTCCGAGCCGCACCGTTGATGCGAGTGCCTGGGGGTAGCGAGATAGAGCCATGGATCTAGCTCCCTTCAGCCTACCCGGTCCTGGTGCTCTGTGTCCCTGGATCGCACGGGGCAGGGTTTGAGTGAAACCTCCCTCCGGGAGTTGATTCCTGGGGGAGGAGGTGGAGCAGTTGCCGGTGGTGGAGGGGGTTGGAGGGCGGTGTGAGGGCTGTTTCTTTGTCGGGAGCGGTGAGGTACTGAACCAACCCGAAAATACTTGAAACTGGCCCAGATTCTGATGAGATGTTGGAGGCGGCGGAGTTTTAACTCCACAGGAAATGGAAGGCTAGAAGATCAGCTCCACGACTAAAAGCACAGAGATCGAGGGAGCATATAACAACCCCTCCCCCAATCCCCAAGTCTAACGTCCTGGCGGCGACTCCGTGCGAAGTCTTGGTAACTTTGTTTTGCTTTTGATCGGAGTCCAAGTCACGCACCCAGTCGAGGACGACTAACGTTTTCTTTTGAACAATTTTCGCCGCGGTCGCGATGTGGTGAGGCATTTTTGAAGGGACAGGGCCTGGTGCAGTCCCCGCTCTGGCTGCAGCTCCTGTTGGCACCGGGGAGATTTTCAGGGTCGGTGGCTTCTCCTCTTTTATAAACTGCGCAGTGTCTCATCATCACCCGAATTGCGTAGAGAGTTAACCGCCTCAGTATTTTTACAGTTTTTGAGGGAACTCATTTCAAACCTAGCTACCTCAGTTTTGTTTGGTTTTGCAGGGCCAAATATAAATGTAGTCTCCGGAAATCAGTTCTGTGAAAAGGATCAGAAAAAGATTGTTAAATCGCCCAGAATATTTTTAAGTTTTTGTTTACGTGATTAAATCCTCGTTTTGGGTATCGCCTTCTCTCAGTTCATCATGTACGGTCAATTTGCAGTGCAAATAATGTGTCGAAAATAAAAATGAAGCCGTTCTTGAGTGGTATCCGTATACAATTTTCATATTTTGAATTGTATATGAGGAAAGTGCTTCACGAGAGTTGTTGTAGCTTGTGCCTGAAGGATTTCGACAAAAATATTATTATTTTGACGCTGTCATCTTTACCGTTTTCTAGTGGGAGCCTAGCTCATTCTGGCAGACTTCCATCAGATCTCTCGGACGTTCAATCGGCTGGTAAGTATTAGGCTACCCACTTTTTCGTATTTTTGTTCCTCTTAACTGGGCCATGATTGTGTAAGGTTCTGATGGGAAAAAAGATCTTTTGAAATTGATGGAGCAGACCTTTGACATAACACATCATGCAGTTCTGTTTTCTACTAGCCTCCACACTTTTGATTTGTGGGATGTCAGGATGGAGAAAGTAAGGAATCTACTCAATGAGTGATAATAGAAATCTCTAGTCAGACTGTGCTTTAGAAAACAAATAATAATAGCTGTAACATGTAATCTTAAATCGAATGTTCCGTCTCTAATTTTACTTCATCCAGGTGTGGAATGAATTTTATGCACCACCACTAGAAACACAATTTCAGTCTGACTGATATCTGACTTCAAACATGTTAATATGGTTGACAAGCCATTCACTTGTCAATGACTTGACAGCTTACTGCTGTCTCAAAGTCAAATGGGGATAGGATTAAGGTTAGCAATTGAGTATAGGGCTTTGGTGACACCACATCAGGAATGTTGTGTACAGTTTTTGCCTCTTCATCTGAGGAAGGGTACTCTTGCAATGGAGGGAATGCAAAGATGGTTTACCAGACTGATTCCTGGGACGGTAGAGTTAAGATGCTAATTTATTATGTGCGACCCTATCAAAAGCTTCCTGACAGTCCGAGCAAACCATATCTTAGCTTCACGCCAGCGCCAACTTGTATTTGATTATCATTGGGAGATGCTGAGACAATGAACGGTAAATAAAACCATACAAAATAGGAGTAGGAATAGGCCATTCGGCCCGTCAAGCCTGTTCCACTATTCAGAGTTTTTGATCTTGGCCACTGCATTAATTGTACACAATGGATGAAGAAGCTTATAGAAACGAGATTAGGTTGATCCAAGCAACCACTGAATTGAGTCCCACGACTTGCATTTGGCTTATTGCTGGTTAACTACTAGGATATTTTCCCAATCCAATCCTGTGCCACAACCTGTGCACCTGAAGCATCCTTGCTTCTTTAAGCCCAATCTATTACAGTGCTCTTCAGCTTGTCTAGCTCCTTGCTTTCCAGCCTTCTCGATATGGGGCATAAAAAGTTATATAGGACAGAAACAGATCCGTTGGTCCAACTTGTCCATGCTGAACAGACACCCCAATCTGACCTAGTCCCATTTCCCAACATTTGGCTCATCTCCTTCTAAACACTTCCTATTCATATACCCATCCAGATGCCTTTTAAATGTTGTAATTGTACGTGTCTCCGCCACTTCCTCTGGCAGTTCGTTTTTACCATCTCACTTTAAACTTATGCCCTCTAGTTATGTACTTTTCCACCTTAGGATAAAGACCGTGGCTATTTACCCTATCCAAGTCCTTCATGCTTTTATAAACCTCCATGAGGTCACCCCTCAGCCTCTGATGCTCCAGGAAAAAAAAAGCCCCAGCCTATTCAACCTCTTCCTATAACTGAAACCCTCCAGTCACTACAACATTCTTATAAATCTCTTCGGCACCCACTCCAGTTTAACAAATTATTTCCTATAGAAGGGCAGCCAGAATTCTACACCGTATTCTAAAAGTGGTCTTACAAATGTCCTGTACAGCCAACTCCTATACTCGATGTTCTGACCAATGAAGGCAAGTGTGTCAAATGCCTTCTTTACCACTGTTTCTAGCTGTGACTCGACTTTCAAGGAGCTATGCACCTGCATCTTTAGGTCTCTTTGTTTGGCAACACCCTCCAGGGTGCTACCATTAATTGTGTGAATCCTGCCCTGTTTTGCCTTTCCAAAATACAGCACCTCACATTTATCTAAATTAAACTCAATCTGCTGCCACTCGGCCTATCGGGCCATCCGATCAAGGTCCTGTTGTACTTTTGAGGTAATTTTCTTCACTGTCCCCTACACCACCTACTTTGGTTTCATCTCAAACTTACTAACCATGCCTCCTATATATTTACATCTAATCATTTATATAAATTACAAAAAGCAGTGGACCCAGCACTGATCCTCGTGGCACACCGCTGGTCACAAGCTTCCAGTCCGAAAAGCAAACCTTTACCCTTTTAAACAAACGGTATAAACAGGAAAGACTCAAGACCTCCGCAACAGCACTGTGTGAAATAGAGCAAAGCGTACTGTACTCATTTGAAATAGAAGGTAAAGCTACCTGGACTTTGTTAAACAAAAATAAAGCCCCTATCTCTTTGGGAGGGGAACAAATATAAAGAAATGGACAAAAATGCTTTTTCCCTGACTCAGTTCCCAACAACCTCTTTTGGGGCAGGGACCAGAAGGGGCCCAAATAAATAAACTCAAACAAATCATAGGGGACCAAAAAAAATCCCCTCTGCTCTGTTCCCATCGAGTGCACCCAGGACTAGGACAACAATAGTTTAAAGTCTAGAGAAAATCCCTCTGATCATTTTAACTAAAAATTAAACTCCCCTCTTATCGAGCACATCTGGGACAGGAACAGTGCAGGACAAAGCACCCTTCTACTCCCCACCCTCTCTCCTACCTTCAAGCCAATTTTGTATCTAATTGGCTAGTTCCCCCGGATCCCATGCAATCTAATCTTACTAATCAGTCTACCTTGTTGAACGCTTTACTGAAGCCCATATAGACATTGCCTACCTCTCTGTCTTCTTCAGTCTTCTTTGTCATGTCTTCAAAAAACTCAATCAAGTTAGTGAGACATGGTTTTCCACACTCAAAGCCACGTTGACTACCCCTAATCAATTCTTGCCTTTCCAAATGCATGTAAGTCCTTTCCCTCAAAATCCCGTCCAACAACATACCCATCACTGATGTCAGGCTCACTGGTCTATAGTTCTCTGGTTTTTCCTTGCAGCCATTCTTAAATAATAGTACCATATTAGCCAACCTCCAGTCTTCTGACACCTTACCTGTGGTTGTCGATGATACAGATATCTCAGCAAGGGGCCCAGCAGTCTCTTCCCTAGCTACCCATAGAGTTCTGGGAAACGCCTGAAGAGGTCCCATAGATTTATCTGCCTTTGTGTTTTAAGATGTCCAGGACCATCACTGCTGTATTATGAACTCTTTTCACTGTATCCCCAACTTCCCTAGCTTTCATCTCCTTCTCCACAGTAAATACTAACAGAAGATACTCATTTAGTATCTCTGCCATCTCCTGTGTTTCTACACATAGACAGCCAAACCCGCTGGCTCGGCAAGCACGTGTACAACCTCGTAGACAGCCATGTCTGCTCCTTCCTTTCAGTTCATTGTATCACATTTTCCAATCAAAAGGTACACTATTTTTGTTCCCTAGTGTCTCCAGTGATCAGATCCCCCCGTCACATTGAAGCTATAATCAAAGCTGCAAATTTTCAAGCCTGCAGTTGTGTACAGTCATCTTATCACAATCTGCAGAATGTTCCAAATAACTCTGCAGCTGCTCACAGGTGCACCCTAGGGCACCCTAACCCGCTGGATTAGACTTTTGACATATCTAATATTTTGAGGACACTGAGTGAATGTGTTACTTGGTTAAAGTGTTGGTCTGTACAGATCTGGAAGATCGCAGGTTAATTCCCTGGTTTCTACATCCCTTAATTTCTGCAAATATGGGACTTTTTATGTTCAGTTTAACTGTGCTATAAGGGTTTGGGGAGGCATACCACTTTGGATGTGCCTGCTCATTAACTGAAAAGTGTGCATCTGGATGCTGAGATCATCATTAATGTCTTTGTCATTTTTAGACATGACTATTCCAATATATTCCTGTAAAACCTCTATATGGCCCTCTGTAAACCATAGGGTATAGGAGCAGAATTAAGCCGTTTGGCTTGTCGAGTCCGTTCCATTGTTTGATCATGGTTGATATGCTTCTCAACCCCATTCTCCTACCTTGTCTCTGTAATCTTTGGACAGCTTACTAATCAAGAATTTTTCTATCTCTGTCTCAATGACTTGGCTTCCACATCCTTCTGTGGCAATGAGTTCCACAGATTCACCACCCTCTGGCTGAAGAAAATCTTTATCATCTCAGTTCTAAAGGGTCATCCCTTCACTCTGAGGCTGCGCCCTCAGGCCCTAGTCTCCTCCTAGTGGAAGCATCTCTGTCCACTCTATCCAGGCCCCTCAGTATTCTGTCAGTTTCAATCAGATCCCCCTCATCCTTCTAAACCGGAGATCATCCAAAACTTCCCCTCGTCCTTACTTGCACCAAGTCTCATTTGTTATTATTTCTGTACTTGCTGATTTACGTTGACTCTCGAGTCAAGCAACACTTCAATTTTGAAACTTCCTTCCGTATTTTCAAATATATTCCACTAGGAGGAGACTAGGGCCTGAGGGCGCAGCCTCAGAGCCTTGACTCTTGTTAGCTCTGTAACTTCCTCCATCTCTGCAAATTTCCTGAGGTATCTGCATTTATCTAATTCTGGTCTTGTGAGCATCCCAATTTACAATTGCTCCAGCATTGACGATCGTTCTGTCGGCTGTCTGGTTCTTAGCTGTGGAAGTCATTCCCTGAACCATGCTATCTCATCATCTCCCTCTCCTCCTCCAAGATCCTTCCTAAAGCTTCTCTTTGACCAAGCTTTTGGCCTATCTGTCCTAATATTGTATGTATTAGTAACTTTGTTGAATTTGTTTTTAAAATGTCTGAAGCACCTTGAAGCATTTTATTAAGTGCTATACAAATACAAGTTTGCTTAATGCCAGGATCAGGTTTATTGGAAAGAATGTCTGGTTAATAAATCTTTGAACAATCACAAAGTAGTCACTGGCTACCTTTCATGCTGTAACCGTTCAGTCTGTTGAGGGTCTTGCAAAGAGCCCTTTAACTATTTTCACTCCCCCATAGCCCTGCGTCTTTTTTTTCCATTCAGCTGCTTATCCACTTCTCTTTAGAAAGCCATGATTGAATCTGCTTCCACTGTCTATTTCAGACAGTGCATTCCACATAGCTACTCATTGCATAAGTGATTCTCCTCATGTCCTTTGGATGTTTTGCCAGTCACTTTAAATTACTGTCTACTGGTTTTCCATCTGCCAATGGGAACAGTTTGTCTCTACTCAATTCATCATGACTAAATAAAATGTAATCTTCAATTCAGATCTTTACAAAAGAAGTTTATAAATTTATAGAGATAGTAGGAACTGCAGATGCTGGAGAATCTGAGATATACAAGGTGTAGAGCTGGATGAACACAGCAGGCCAAGCAGCATCAGAGGAGCAGGAAAGCTGATGTTTCGGGCCTAGACCCTTCTGCAGTTTCTGAAGAAGGGTCTAGACCCAAAACATCAGCCTTCCTGCTCCTCTGATGCTGCTTGGCCTGCTGTGTTCATCCAGCTCAACACCACTTATAAATTTATAAATGTTATCCAATAATTTTTCAATACATTTAAGATGTGTAAATGTGTTTTGTTTCTTCACCTTATTTCACACCTTTTAGCATATTCATATTCTACATGAGTAGTCCTGTTTTCACTAATTACGTATGGCAGTGCAGTTTTTGCTACTTACTGCCAGAGAGCGCAACCATACTGACAGGAATGATCTGGTAAAGAGGCTGAGTGATTAGTTGAGACAATTGTTTTCCTACTTGTACAAGTGCCAAATAATCTCATACTCCTTCAATTATCAATTTTTCAGAGCCTTGCTTAATTAAAGAATTGCTATATACACATAAACATCCATCTGGAACTATTTATCACTAGTTTTAACATTGCTTTGTTCTAACAGAATTTAAAAGAAGATCTGAATGGCCAAGGTGATCAAAATATAGGTAAGTGCAATAAAAATATTCTAGCTGTCGGTAGGAGCAAGAGGGAATGTCAGTGGTGATTGTAGGAAATCTAATTATGGAAGCAGAAGTATCCTTTATGAACAAGATTGAGTTTGTTGCCTGCCTAATACCATGGTCAAGGGAATCTCAAGCTTGGAAGACCCTTTGAAGGGAAGGATCTAATCATTATCATCATGGAGCTAACAACTTGTATCTAGCGAGAAAGATGATGATTGTAGATGTTGGAGGTCAATTATGTCAATCCTGGGAGATCACTGCAGAAGTCCAAAGATGTGCAGTTTAGGTGGATTGGCCATACTAAATTGCCCTATAGTGTCCAGGGATGTCGGCTAGGCAAGTTAGTGGGGTTACGGGGTGGAGTGTTGGATCTGGATGGGATGCTCTTGGGGTCAGTGCAGACTTGATGATCCAAATGGTTTCTATCTGCACTATAGGGATTCTGTGTTCCTCAAGATGGTGTGCTAGGATCAACCACGTTCAACTGCTTTGTCAATCCTTCCCTCTATGGTAAGATCAGAACTGGGGACATTTGCTGATCGGTACACAAAAATCTTCAGCATTGTTCACAGCTCCTCAGACACTGAATCAGTCGGTGCAGCAAGACCCTGGACAAGGTCCAGGTTTCACCTGGTAGGTGGCAAGTAACGTTTGCTGTACACAAATGCCAGACAATGGCCATCTGCAAGAGAGAATCCAGGCAACAGTCAAAGAGAGGTACTAGGTATAGTGAAGGAGCAAAAGTCGTGTCCAAATGAGGCATGTGCAACCAGAGGGTATAATCTCAAGAAGTTGTACATTTAAGACAAGTGAGAAGGAAATACTTGAGGCTTGTAAAATCCTTCACAGCGAAGGGTTGTGGGCCTGGGTTATTAAGTAAGTTCAAGGCTGAAATAGGTTTTTAATCAGTAGGAGAATCAAGGCAGGAAAGTGGAGGTGAGGATTACCAGATCAGCGTGATCTCATTGAATAGTGGAGCAGACTTGTTGAGCTGAATGGTGTACTTCTGCTCCTATATCTTATGGAATTGCAACATGGCACAGAGAGAATTAAGATAAACCAACAAAACAAAATGGACAAGAGAAAAAAAACACAACTGGGTGGGTGCAAAAGTCATAGTTAAAACTTGTTCAACTCAGTGTTAGTCCAGAATGCTGTAATACCAAGTGAAATGATAGTGCTGTTCATCAAGCTTGTGTTGAGCTTCGCCAGAACACCACAGTAGGCCATGGGCTGAAATATCTCTATGGAGAGTTAAAATGTCAAGCTACTGAACGGTCTGTGTTGTGTTTACAGGCAGTTTTCTGCGTACCAGTCATCAAAACTGCATCTGCTTTCCCAGTGTGGAACCGACCACACTGCTGGTAATGAATAGTTTGAAAGAAGTATAAGGAAATCACTGAGAGGTGTGTCTAGGGCCTTAAACAATGAGTAGGGAGGATTTGGCAATACAGATGTTACATCTCCTACGCTTGTGTGAAAGATGTCATAGTGAAGGAGGGGGATGTTGAGATGACTAGACACTTGTGCAGGGAACAGTCCCTATGAAATACTGAAAGGGATTGGTAAGATGTTTGGTGATTACGTAATGCCCTCATCTCTCTTTTCACAAATGGATTCAGATGGGGTGTAGGATTGGAATATGGATGTTGAGGAATGCAAGGACATGTTCAGCTTTTATCTATAGTTCATATAATGGGACTAGCAAGACCACAAGGGATGGCAAGGTTAAGGGAGCAGCTGTGATTTGGGGCAGAGTCGTTTATTCAGAACAAGAGATTTGGGAAGGATCAGTGAATGCAGAGAGAGAATATCACAAGCTGAGAGTTTAAATGACGAGCGACTGAAAGCTTTGGTCATGTGTGCAGATGTAATGGAAGTGTCCTAAAGCAGTCATCCGAACTGTTTGGTTTCCCATTGTAGAAAAGACCACATTGTGAATTTTGAGATCACGTTGAAGATAGATTTACTGATAAGTGAATGGACAAAAAGGTGGTAGATCTGTTTTTGATTAAGGCAAGTGTGAGATCATGTGTTTTCAACCTTAACACGATCAAGCAGCAGAATTTCTAAATCTTGAAATGCAAGAGACTTAATTATGTATCTGGGCCCCACCACACGATGTAACATTAAAATATCATTGTGAAAATAATAACCTGATGAAATGCTAGCTTCTATATCTATAAGAGTAGAACACACATTGAAGGCATACTTCAGCTGCACAAAGCCCTATTAGACCTCACGTGAAATACTCTGAATACTTCTTGATATTGAACATATTAACAGTTATGTTTACTTTGGAGGTGTGTCACATAGGTTTACCAGAATTATGCCTGGACCCAAGGTTCAAGTGAAATGAAGAGAACGTACTTAATCACCATTGCACCCTAATTTTTGACCAAAATTTAAGATACTGATGGATAAATAAGGAAGATACTATTGCTACTGTTGAAGAGAGTAGGCTACCGAGTGTCTAGTCTTGCCATGTCTTCCAGAAGTGAAATTAGGAGACGCTGAATTAGAAATTAAAACAGGTGATAGACATCTAGAACTCTCTCTTGCATAAGCAACAATTAATACTGAATCTTTAGGTAATGTTGGCATAATAAATCCTGAGATTCATTATGATCGAAGATATTAAGCGATGAGGGGCCATGTTGGGTCTGAGGAGTTAGGTCGGTCATTATCTTATTGAATGACAGAACGTACTCAAACTAAATGGCCAGCTTCTGTTCTTGTGTACCTAAGTAGTGTATAGAATAAGAGGCTCTGGTAAGTTTGTACCTGACTAAACTGTAAACTGTTGCAGATAGCTCCTCTCAGTGCACCTGTTCTGTCTTTTGGTGTGCTCACAAGATGCCTGTTAAGAAGAAGAGAAAATCTTCAGGGTCAGAAGACGCCAGCATGAAAAAATGTAGAATAAGCAGGTGGGTACCATTTTTAGATTTGACCTATTTTCCCTCTTGTGAATTTAATAACTAACGCTTTCCAATATTTTGCTCATTCAAACGGGTTTAAAATTTAGCCTTTACTCAAAGGGTTATTTGCAAACTTCACTGTAGATTACGTGCTTCTACAAATATCCCAATGTTTTACTTAGGGAAGATTAGTTTGGCTTTACTGTGACAGCAACTTGTATTTAAATACTGTCTAGCAAGATGTTTGCTGTTCTTTTCAAGTGTACACATTGCCATGGATAATTTTGGGTCTACAGTTTTGCGTATTTAATGATGTTTAGATTCAGAGATGTACAGCACAGAAACAGACCCTTTGGTCCAAGGCCAACCAGATATCCTAAATTAATCTAGGCCCATTTGCCAGCATTTGGCCTATATCCCTCTAAACTCTTCCTATTCATAAAGTCATCCAGGTACCTTTTTAAATGTTGTAATTATACCAGCCTCCACCACTTCGTCTGTCAGCTTATTCCCTACATGCACCAACCTCTGCATGAGAAAGTTGCCCCTTAAGTCCCTTTTTAATCTTTCCCCTCTCACCTTAAACCTATGCCCTCTAATTTTGGACAACCCCACCCTACCCTAGGGAAAAGACCTTGTCTATTTACCCCATCCATGCCCCTCATGATTTTATAGACCTCGAAGGTCACCCCTCAGCCTTCATCGCTCCAGGGAAAATAGCCCTGGCCTATTCAGCCTTTCCCTATAGCTCAAAACCTCCAACCTGGCAACACCCTTGTAAATGCTTTCAGAACCCTATCAAGTTTAACAACATGCTTCCTACAGCAAGGACACCAGAATTGCACGCAGTATTCCAAAAGTAGCCTAATCAATGTCCTGCAACATGACCTTCCAACTTCTGTACTCAATACACCGACCAATAAAGGCAAGCATACCAAATGCCTTCTTCACTACTGTCTTCCTGAGACTCCACTTTCAAGGAACTATGCACCTGCGCTCCAAGGTCTCTTTGTTCAGTAATACTCCCCAGGACCTTACCATAAGTCCTGCCTCGATTTGCGTTTCTAAAATGCAGCACCTCACATTTATCTAGATTAAACTCCATCTGTCATTCCTCGGCCAATCAGCCCTTCTGATCAAGATCCCGTTATACTCTGAGGTAACCATCGCTGTTCGCTACACCTCCCATTTTGGTGTCATCTGCAAATTTACAAACTATACCTCCTATGTTCACATCCAAATCATTTATAAAAGTGACAAAGCAGTGAACCCAGCACTGAACCTTGTGGCACACCACTGGTCACAGGCCTCCACTTCCACCCTCTGTCTTCTACCTTTGAGCCAGTTCTGTGTCCAAATGGCTAGTTCTCCCTGTATTTCATGCGATCTATTCTTGCTAACCAGTCTACCATGAGGAACCTTCTCGAACACCTTACTGAAGTCCATATAGATCACATCCATCGCTCTGCCCACATCAATCTTCTTATTTGCTTTTTAAAAAGATATGAATGCAATATTTACATTTCCTTATACTCAGAGGCTCACACTGACATGTAACAGGCGAGAATGGAACTGTGGTATTATTTTGATTAGACAAAATATTTTTAATCAAGATTGACTGACTGCATTCTCCAAGATACCTAATGTACATTCAACAATGAAAACAAAAAAGCCTTGAAAAACAGCTTGGTATGTAACTGCTGCCAAGTCTGTTTTATTGTTCTTAACACTTGATTCCTCAACTTTATAATAAATATTAAGGCAAAACATAGTGAAAAGCTGTGGATTTTATCAGAAGACCCAGAAGATTATGACTTAAAATGAAGCTCGGATTTTTTTGAAAATGGCTTACTGATCAGGTTTTGTCTTTTTAAGTTTCTGTAGAGTGCAGACGGCATCTAGATTAATAAGTGATGACAGTTTTTCAAGCAAAAAGTGCCTTGCTTGGTTTTATGAATATGCAGGTAAGAACTTTGTGGCATATTGACTCGCTTCATCAAGTTATAAAAACAAATGTAATCATTTGTTGCTGTCTCAGTATTTTAAGAGTTTTTACTATGTGGGTTGGTAAAAAAACCACATAAAGCAGTCCTGTTTCTCTGCTGCAGCATTGCTTATGAATCGCAGAGAACACATTGTTCCGGAATCAGTTGGAGCAATGGGAAATGAATAAATTGTATTATTGCAATGCAGCATTTCTGCCAAGTGACTGGTGCGTTTCGTTGGCATTGTCAGACCATGATGAAAAAAGAACGTTTATTCTCACATTCATACTGTCTCAAGCTCTTGACCAGTATTTGTACAAAATATTTTGGCAACCCCCTCCTCCTGCCAGTGCACCTCCCTTTCCCTGACCCGATCAAGAACTAAACAGAACAATATAATTGAGGTGCGTAAATGGTAAGTGGCTATTAGTCAAAAGAAATATGCCACTTTAGCAGCTCAAATTAATACTTTCCCATATGTAGAGAGCTTTCTGAATTGTGCTGCTTCATTCTATGATAAGGTTATTTAAAGCTTATCACTTGTGACAGGTTTTGGACAAAATCACATTGCACTTTTATAAGAAAATGTCATTGAACATGGCACCACAAATTCTATCTTTACTTAACATTCCGGTGAGTACTCCAAAGATATCTAACAACATTTTAGAGTTTTTTTTTTGATTTAAGGGATGCACCCTTATTTTCCCCTTCCCTGGGCTATGCACGAACTGCAGCCAAGGATGAGCCGGCAACCTGATACCAGGTTTCTGCTGGCGACGCTGTAAATAAATGTTAGGAAGTGTGCTGCTGCAGTCGATAAATGGCTCTTGCTCTGAAAATCATCCCACTCCCTGTTAGAAAATGTAACTTGTTTTCACACACCCTTATTCTCATGTATTAAACATTCCAAGTTGGGTAGGGAGGAGTAATGAATTGTACACCTTCAAATTCAGTTGAGTTGGTACTGGGCCACTGACTATTCAGATTGACTGACTGACTGACTGACTGACTAATTTATGTATTTACATATGGCATTCCATTAAAGTGCAACTGCTTCTTGTGCCACCTGTTGCTGATGTAAATTATCGTAGATTGGTATTAGAATACAAAGTATGTTCAATTATAACATGGGAGCATAAAATTATTTCATGAGTTTTACCTCCTTGTTGCAGCACGTTCATTGCAGAATTTAAGTTGAGATGTCTGTGTTTTAAAAGCAATTTCTTTTTTATGTCTGCCTTAAATAAAAAAATATTCTATGCAGTTCTGCCATTGTAAATGAGCCACAGCTTCAAAAGAATGAAATTTTAATTCCCACTTCTTTCTGCTGCATCATAAATTAGCTGTGTTTTGGTTCAGCACAGCATTGAGAGGTTGGATGATCCAGAATTATGTCTCTATTATTTCTGTAAAGTATTCGTTTTAGCAGAACCTTTTATCGTCATTAATATGTTGGTTTGGTGTGTGGGGGAAACAGTATAAACTAATATTAATGTGTGGATTTTAAATGTATTTCTACAATCTTGATGCACTGTAACTCTTTTGTATTAGCTGCTTGAGAGCCTTTCTGTTACCATTGTGTTTCATTTATTCCTGGCAAATTATTTGAGTATATTTTGTATTAACAACTAAGGTTTGATTTTCTGCATGTAAAGCATGTTCTTCATGTTACTTTTTAGTTATAGAACTACTTTAATTTCTCTTCGAATTCATTAAGTTTTATCAGCAGAAACCTGGATTCATCTTTTGCAGTGCTGCCACCTTACCTCAACTGGCTAAGAAACCACTTAACATCACAACCAAATCTGTTAAAACAACCCAGCAAAGCTGGAAACTATTAGAAATTGGGCACGATAGCTAATTTTTGTGGTCTGGTTCCACGTCATGCCCGTTTCTTAATGCTGAATGATTCATAGATTAATAGCTTTAGAGCCAAAGTATTTGTCCTTGTATATAACCATCTTGTGAGCTTGGAAGTCAGAAACTAATATTTCACTCCATATACATTTGTGAAACATGCAGTTATGTATGTTCCGTTTCTATGAAGATATATTTAAAGTGATTGCTTGATTAGCATTTGGTTCTTCTATGTTTATAATTTGTGATATTTTAATTTCCTGTGAAACTTTCAGCTTCCTACTAGATAAATAATGAATACAGCTAAGCATTATGCTGGGGCTTCAAAACGTTTTACTAGACATTTTTGTGCTTATGAAATAGCGTCAGCTGATGAAGATGCTCGGTTTTGACAGCTTTACCCTGTTTAAGTTCTAGTAGTTAGTGGAATGGTCATTTATGCTGGTGATCTGCAGCAACTCATTCCTATCAATATTTGACTATTTAATGAAATGATGGAACAAAATCTATAATAAAAACAAAAACACTCGTCCAGTAAAATGTGAAGGTGTTAGCAGAGTTATTATTTCGGATCCGTGGTCATTCATCAAATTCCAAGTAAAATCTGCAATGGACTATATACTTTGATAAAAGGTATTTGTGATTCATTGCTTGTAATATAATTAATATCCATCCATCTACAGTTTCCCTCAACAGAAAATGACAGTTTTCATGCAAACTATAATGAGAGCATCGAGCTTAGAAGCAGAAGCAGGCTTTTTGGCCCTTTGTTCTGTGCTATTCAATAAGATTATCACTAACTCTGGTTGTGGTCTCCACTCCATACTTCTGCCCACCCAGTTAACACTTGATTCACTAGTCTGTTAAAAATCTGTCCAGCTTGCTTTGAAGAAATTCAGTGACTTAGCCTTCGATGTTTTCTGGGGAAGAAAATTCCAAAATCTCAAAAAAACGTTCTTCTCACTTCAGTCTGAAAAATGAGTTATCTTATTCTTAAAATATATCTCCTGATTTTTGCCTATGTTGAAATCCTCCCTGCGAAGTCCCCACAGGATCTTGTGTTTCAATAGGATCACATATAATTCTTCTAAACCCTCAAGTAAAAGTTCAACCTGTTCAAACTTGTCATAAGATAAGCCTTTCATCCTGGAAATGGAGTCACGTGAACCTTCTGAAAACAAAATAAACAAGTTTCCGGGTAGAACATGAATTTAGTGAACCATGAAACTATGTTAGAAGGCTTTAAGCTGAAGACTTAAGTGTTTGATTTGGATCAGAAGAGGCAGTAAAGGGTGTAGGAAGTCTTTTGGAAGATGTGAGCTTGAGGGGAGGGGTTCATGGAGGGGTTGCAGATGTATGGTGAGGGAGACATAAACTGGCTTCATCAACATTAAATGTTTTTTTTCTTTCGCTGCAGATAGGTTTAGTGTGCGAGGTACCGTAAGTTAGACAGGGGTGCTCTGAGATTTCTCTGCGTCTCTCCCCAAATGAGCCAGCCACGTGTATCATCTCCCACCTCTGCATATCTCTTTTTCTAGTACGTCGACGATTTGCGATTTTTCTGCTGGTCCTGAACTGGGAAATTTAATCCAACTTTATTTCTAATTTCTACCATCCTCCTCCCCTTCGTGAGGTCTGTCCTCAACGTCTTCCCTTCCCTTCTTTCACATCTTTCACATAGACACAGTTAAATAATAATCACTAATGCTTGAGGGCTCTTTTTTAGCCAGTTTGACTACACTTCCTAACGCATCTTCCAGTAAGCATTTCATTTAATTTTCCTAGTTTTTCTATCTCTGCCTCATTATTCTGATGTAACCTTTTTGATAACCAAAACGCAATATGTCTTCCCTTTTCCTCAACTGTGGATTCCTCCCAGTGAGTTTAATAAGCCTGAACAGGTGTCCATTGTATTTCACGGAGTTATGCTTTCATCCCTCCGCAGACCAGAATAAGATTCCTTTTCCCCCTCAGCCTCCATATTTAGTAGCTTATGCTCTCGTCTCCCCAAAAACATTACGAATGTTTGTAAAAACATTGTCTAAATCTGTCTCTATATAGGTTATTTCAAAGCGGAAAGACCTGGAACAAGAATTTCCAAATAGATCATTATAAAGTTTGTTTTAAAATGGCTGAGATGCTACATTATCGTAATAAACTTTTAGACTTTGTTGCAGTATTGTATCATATGTATGATTTAGCAGTACAACCACAGCAGAGTAACTGAAACACTTTTGAAGTTGATTATTTTGTAATCGTGAAAATTGAGTTAATGCTGTTTGGAGCCTACTGGAATCTCCGGCCACGTAACAAATGATCGTATAGATCACATGCTATAAATGCAGCTTCACCGGATGTCCTAAGAATTTTGGTTTTCAGTGTTGGTTTTTTGGGTCTTGGATTTCTTAGGGTGCCCCGTACAATTGCTGTTTGCTGGCAGCAGTTAGAACATTCTAGTTATTGTGCAGCAAAACAAAATTTTCATCTGTTGGCTTTTTTAGATTCACCTAGCAATTGTTTCACTAAACACTTGAGTTTGAGATGATTGGCATTTTATAAAACCGGAAGGGGTGAAAAAACAACTTGCACCTTTCAGTTCACTTGAATTTGAAATGTAAATGCCAATTTTATTCAAAGTTTTAATCTATTGAAATTACTTGTGAAATGGCTCCATTTTAGTCAGGTTAGTCGCTGTACAGGTGGCTAGTCTTTGCAAGCAAATTATGTTCACATTCTGGTTTGTTTTTTTTTTCTGTATGCATTAGTTACTACTTTACAGGACTCTTCCAATTTAAATAATGTATTTGTGTTAAAGATTAATTGAGCTTCAGTCAGGACTACCAGTCATGCTTTAGAACTGAGGAATTTGGATGGAATCCGGATTTTATTTCCATTCTGTCTTTAAGGTACAGATGAAGTTGTTGGTCCTGAAGGAATGGAAAAATTTTGTGAAGATATAGGCGTGGAGCCTGAAAATGTAAGTATAAACTTACAAAAAGAATTAAAACTACTGAAGTGAGAGTTTATTATTAACATTGACGTAAAATTACTTCAACTGTGCTTAGACTCTGGCCTATAATACTCTATATGTAGTTTTGATTTTTCATTATGGTCAAGATTTTTCCTTTTTAGCTTGGCAGTAGTTAGTTTGAATGTCTTTGCCATTTTGTGTTAAAAGTGTTTTGTTTTATAGATGTGCTGCCATTTTCTAAGATCAATTTCTACCTTTTTTAAATTGCAGCTTTTTGCTTAGTACAATCCAAGTTTAAATATCTTACTCTGATCCGTAAAAGCTAATACAGTTATGAAAACTTGAACAATTTACTTTATGGTATTTGCAGAGGTGAGAATGTAGAACGTGGCTTGTTTCTGGCTTACCCCAGTGCTATATCTTACTGATAAATATCTACTAACATTTCATTTAACACTTATCTACTGGCTGTCAGTCTAAGGAAAGCTAGTTGAAGATTTCGCAAAGCTATGCATTCACAAAGTCGGTGAATCTATGGTGTTCCTGTAATACCAAAGAACAGAGCTTCTAGAATCTGCATTTCATGCACACATAATATACCTATTGTATTTTATTTTTAATTAATCAAAAGCTTAATTTCTTAGTTCTTTGCAGACAGATCTATTTTGCAGTTTTTCCTGTCCACAGAGGGTAGAATTAGAGATATCATGAAATTTAGGAATAGCCTGTCCTTACAAATATTTGAAATACCTGTATGGCCTGAATAAACAAGAAACATTAAAGATTTGGAGAAAAAACTTCGACTGTCAAGGAAGTTGCAAAAGAAGTTCATTTGCTATATTGTGATGTTCTGGCCTTTTCTGAATCAATAATTTAATCAGGTCTTCAGCTGCCAAGACCCAGAGTTCTACGTTTTTCTCCCTAAATGCCTCTGCCTTGCTCCTCATTCAAAGATGCTTCCTCTAATTTAACTGTGAGCCTTTGGTCATCAGCCCCCATCTCTGTAGGACTTGGTCTAAAAATTGTTACAATGGGAAATGACAGAACCCTTCTGATAATTAAACTAAAACACAAGTCAATCTCTTATGACCGGAGTAGGGGTTCCCCTTTAATAATTATTCCTGGAACATCCAAAGAAGCTAATCTTTCCCCTTATAATCTATTGTGAGTGGTTAAAGGAAAGAAAATCCTTGAACTCCACTTTACAAGGAACAATCAATTTATTTATTTAACCCAACAATGAAGAAATTAACAAAATTACTAACAATTCCCCTTAGACTACTAACTACTCTCTAACTGGTCTAAATTCTACTGGAATGCTGTTTTAAATAAAGGCAAGTCCCACTAATATAAACCCAATTAATAAGATGCATTAAATTATAACTTAATCTCTCAAAATTCGCACAGACTGTCTTCTGAAATATTCTGTCGTCTCCTGTCTCTCTTCACAAGCACCTTTCTTCCGTTAATTCTGCTGTCAGATGTTTTATCTGTATAATTTCTTCATTGCGGACTTTGAGCTAAAATACTGTGATACCTTTAATAAATTAGTTGGGCTTTCTCTGAGAACTGAATAGTGCTAACTCTGGCAGATGGTGGATGGCTCTCCCCGATTTTTCCAAATGCCCTTGTCTTATATACCCGTAATGATGTAATCAAATTCTTATAATAGGTTTCGGGTTGTCAACTCATCAGATTTAAATTCAATCAGCTTTCTGTATCTAGGTGCTTCATTTAAATTAATTGGCCAAATTCAAATTTGTTGTCTTGGGGGGAAAAAGTGCTGCTTGTTTGTTCAATACAAAATGTTTCCATTTGGGCACTTTCTGTGCATCTGCATTTATAAACTTCCAAGCACAGATAAAGCGCAAGCTCTTAAAGGGACCACAGCACTCTTCCCTCACAGCATTTTTTAACCAACGGATTCTAACTTCCTGCTTTCCAATTCATGAATACTCTACCCAACTTCGTAACAAAATGTCCTTCTAGAACTCCATGGGATATTTTACTAGATTTAAAGGCACTGCACGTATGAGTTGTTTCTATTACAGCAAACACATGGTAATTAACAATTCATCTTCTTTGATGCATTGTGATAATGTTAGTTTAATTAGTTCTACCCACATATTAGATTTGCATTTCTCGCCAATTTTTTTTTGCCCTACATTCAGTGCAAAATCCTTATCTTGTCTACTTTTGAACAGTTCACATTAAGTAATAGCATAAGTGGAAATCCATGCTTGGCATCCATTATTTATTAAATTTTATAATTTTAGGCAGCTGTCTACTCTGCTTTTACACTTTTTATGTTTGTCTCAATATCTAATGCTGCGCTTGTGCAGAAAACTGCAGGAAAGGACCTATCCTTTAGAGGGTGCTCTAATTTTCTAAGGTAGTTATAGTGAATCCTCATCAGTATTGCAGTTAATCGTGGTGATGCGAGAAAATATATTTAGCCATACTTGCACAAAAAAGTAATGGTCCAGATATTCTGATGGACAGAATTGTTGGAGCAGTGCAAACAGGAGGTTCACATCGGGACCATTTGGAATCCCCAATTCAGCTATCTCTGTGAAATTGCCCAGGAAATTGAAACTTCCAGTGGGCATTTACCCTGCATCTGGATCCCTCTGAAACTGCCCCTTTTTAATGTTGGAAACCTAAGGGTTTCAACACAGTTGGGATTTAGTCACCCAGGAAAAATTTAAGGATTGAAAGGTTATTGAAACACCAGAGTAACTATTAAACTGATGCCTCGTCCAGCACCCCTATGGTATTGAGTTGGCTCAAATATCCCAGCAACAGCAGGCTGTCTGTAATGTTCAATGATTTTCACGGTCTTCCATCCCAGTTAGCAGCGGACAATGCAATGTTTGCTAACATCTGAGAAAATTTTCAAAAAAATGTTAGTTTTGTGTATCTGATTAGAATCTCTGACCAGAAATGTGGTCATGTAGCTTGAAAGGCTATTGAGCTCATTTCTGGCAGTTCATAACTGAGAGGGTCTTGTAACTCCAGTCCACTTCATTCCAGAACTAGGGGGCACAGATTTGAAATTAGAGATTGCTCTTTTAGGACAGATGTGAATGTGATTTGAGAACTTGCTGCCTCAGCAGTTGGTGGAGACAGGTCGTCATTTTTAAAGTGGAGGTAGATAGGTTCTTATTGGACAAAGGAATCTAAGCTTTTTGCAGTTAGATGGGAATGTGGAATTCAAACACAAATCAATCGGCCATGATCTTATTGAATGATGGAGCAGGCTTGCAGGGCCAAATGATTTACTTCTGCCCCTATTTTGTATGTTCATATGAGATGTCCGATGTGGGGCTCTGTACAAAGTTATGGCCAACAGGAGTAGCTCATTTGTATATGAAATGGAATGCATTTATTCGTGACAAAGGCTACCTGTCTGGCCACAACTATGTAGCTAAACATCTTGGATGTGTGACTGTTTGGGTTAAAAGCCATTGGACTTCTGGAACGAAAGGGGCTGTTTTTACTCTGTGATAAGAAATATCGATTAGGAAAGGTTTAGAGGAAGATGGGCCAAACACAGGCAAATGGGACTAGTTCAGTTTGGGGAAACCTGGGTGGAAGAATCTGTTTCAGTGCTACATGACTCTATCTCAAGCCTGAAAATAGCCAGTTTATTTCCCTTCATCAGTTGCTGGTTTTTAATTAATAGGTCAGAGACCTTAAGTGTGAATGAGTCCCCTGAGCTTCCTGCAAACAAGGAATATTATCTGGAGAAGGAAGATTGAGAAGCTGTATTCTGATCAGCACAAGAATCATCTTAGCAAACACTGTGAACAGGGGCCACTGAATCTGCCTTCCCAGTCGTTCTCTCCATCTGTGGCATCCTTTTTTTTTTGTTTGTCTCCATCTGTGTTTGTGTATAGAGGGTGAGTTTGTAAGTGGGTTAGAGTTTTAAGTGGTAGAGTTGTGTTAGTGCTTCATAATTGCTTATCTGCAGTTAGCATCTCCTTATTTGCAAAAGTAGTTATTCTTAAATACAGAAGTCTGGCACATGTTTTCTGGCAACCTCTGTCTAAAAGGCAGGTAACTTGAGGAATTCTACACAGTTGTTAAAATTTTTAACACCTCGTGATGTTTCCAGGAATAGCAGAGTTTGATTTCTAGTGCCTGACCGTAGCGCAGCCTAACACTATATTACTGACTCTGCATGTTAACCACTTGCTGATCTTCATTGAACATGTTTTGAAATAAACCAATATTTGTGTTTATTAAGACAGCTGGATGTCTCCAGCCTGGTATAGATCAGATATTTAATTGGTCTCAGTAAGTAGAGAAAGTATTCTTGTTTTAGGTTGTGACCCAGGCTGGAGTGACTGTACTCCTCCAGTCTCATTCATAACAACATGTTACACTAGTCTTCCAAAGAATTAGCAAATTCCAATTAATAAGCTTTGTAAAAATGTTTATGAACATTTAACACTGAAATATGGTTTCATTCATGAAAACTTCAGCTAAGAATTAATTGTTTTGCTTTGTGTCAAAACTGTGGAAGTTTTGAAAGTGAGTGAGTGGTCTCTGAATTTGACAGTGATGGGTGCTGAAAGTTGTTGCTGAAACTTGAAATTGTGCTTTTTTTTTTGGTCTACAGATTATCATGTTAGTGTTAGCATGGAAACTAGAAGCTCAGAACATGGGATTTTTCACTAAAGAAGAATGGCTAAAAGGAATGACCTCATTACAGTAAGGAGTCTCAATGACAGTACTGTTTTAAAATGAAATGAATGACAGTCCATTCCAGCATTCAACCGTTATGCCTTGTATAAGCTGCGGCTCATTCTTGATGCTAGAAAGCTTGCATGTTAACTTCCAGATTATTCTTTTGGGTCTCTGCTTGGTAGGTTCTTAATACGATATTTCTTTTTAACCTAGATGTGACTGCACAGAAAGGTTGCAGGGCAAATTTGACTACTTACGCTCGCAACTAAATGATCTGTCAGCTTTCAAACAAATTTACAGATATGCCTTTGATTTTGCTAGGGTAAGATACGATAAATATTTTATCACTTGCGTTCATCTTTTGAGCTGCTGCATAATATTTTGTCATAAACCTAAAACCCTTCAATGTGCTCTCTTATAGGATAAAGACCAACGTAGCCTTGATATTGATACTGCTAAGTCAATGTTAGCTTTGCTCTTAGGAAGGACGTGGGCTCTGTTCTCTGCATTTTATCAATTTTTGGAGGTACATTGAATCTTTTTTAAAAAAAGTTAGCATTGCAAAATTTTCAAATAGTTAGAAATTTTAGGAAATACAATAATTAAATATCTGCGTTTTTCTGATTTGAGTTTTCAAAATTGTATGTGAACTCTCTTCAGCAATCAAAATACAGAGTTATGAATAAAGATCAGTGGTTCAATGTATTGGAGTTCAGCCGAACTGTGCTTGCAGACCTGAGCAACTATGATGAAGATGGTGCATGTAAGTTTCTTTCCCATGATTTAGAGCTATGCACTTATTCTAATAAAACCCCTACAAAATTATAATTTAACTTGTTTCCTTTTCAGGGCCAGTCTTGCTTGATGAATTTGTTGAGTGGCAGAAGATCAGGCAGTCGTCATAAAAAGTTGGAAGAAAGCGAACAATGGGAGAGCAATAATGCTTTGCCACCCGACTATTCTACACCTTTAATTATGATGTGGAAAGTGTTTGTCAGAAGCCATCTTTAATGCTAGCTACAGACTTTTTCAGTGTTACAAGTGAGGAGACTGTTTTCAAGTTGCATCTGTATTAAGCATTTCATTATGTATTCATTGACTATGGCGCCTAATGTTAGGATTTTGTCCAGTCTTGAGTCTTAATGCTTTTGGCGATCTCTGTTTATAACTTCATAAAGTACTTTTGAAGCACATTCAAAAAAACGGTAAATTTTTATCAGAAACAGAAATCGTCATCAATTTCATGGGTGACTGCAGATAAAAAGGCTTTGAAGTATATGGATGTGTTTTTCAATTGTTAGAAAGTGTATGCTATTGTATCAGACACTCACTGCTCTGGTACCATACCAAAAACTTACTGAACCTCGTATGTTAATGTGACTATGTAGCACCTTTTCTGTGATATAGTATATCAATAGGTACTGGTGCTAGTTTAGGCCTGTGTGCTCAGGGTTAGTGGTAATGACAGTAGCACCACCTCAAGGCCCATATAATAGAAAATTACAAGTGGTACAAATGTATGTATAAATTTGTTCAGTTAGTATTGTTCAGGTATCCACAGAATGATTTGCCTGTTTCCGAAAGCACCTAAGTGTTTTATTTAACACTCTCTTTATGAACAAACAGAACATGGTCATACACCTGATTTGGGTGGAGAAATATGTAGAATCAACTGCATATAAGAAAATTAATCAATACTGGATTAGCAAATATGTGGTTTTGACTATAATATTTAGTCATAACAGGTAAGTGATCACATCACCAATTTGTCTACTGTACTAACGATACAGTATTAGATTCTTTTGCAGTATTATCTTTATATATTTGACTCTCTAGAGTATAAAGTTGTAAATTTAGCCTGAACTAAGCACTCTTATGCTATTGATTAGTTGAAACTTTTGTAAGGAGGTGATACTGTGGGACCTTGAATAAAAAAAAAACATCTTTTATGTTTAGTGTCTAAAAGACAAATTGAAATTTTGTCGATGGATCTCTTGTGTAAGGAAAGCAATGACCTAAATACTCAAGTTAAGCATTGAAGTATGAGTGTAGTGATTCTTTATTTTCCTCAAAACTTCAGATTTCAGCAGATTCTTAATCCCCAAAAATCTCTGCTGAAGGTGGTAACAGTATGACCAGTCTCAACACTAAAAGCTACTGATTTACTGTTCGCTTGAAAGCCTAACAACAAATGTAGAGTGGTGCTTTGGAATGCACTTTACACAGTCCTGTACATCCTAGTGCCAGTTATTATTCATAAGTAATGCAGTTTTTGTTAATTCACAAGTCCACAATTTAAAATTGAACCATATAGTCTTATAGGTTTTAAATTTAGTGGTTCTCTGGCTTAGCACCACATTACTTGATTGTGAATACTAGTTCATAATCAAAGTAATCACCTAAACTGGTAAATATCTAGACTAGTTTCACCCACCTGCTTACACCAGATATACTGATATGCAACCTATTGCTGAAAGCAGAATTCTACATTTTCTCTTGCTGTTCGTACCACCATCAAATATGGTTACTTTGTTTAATGAAGCAAGATAGAAATTCTTACAGAATGGTGGAATTGGCATACTTAAAGTATGCATTTTATACTGCTATATGATTCATCTTAACTATTTCTCTGAAATGATAGAACATTTATTGCAGGTATAAAGTGACAGCAAAGGTAGTTCACAAGTTTGGTTCCAAAGTAACAAATGGAACATCGAGCAAACTTTTGTTTTAGAAACCCTCAAAGCTGATAGGAATAATTATTCAAGCGTATTGAAAACCTGATACCAGTAATTTAAGAAAATACAGCTAAGCAAGTTTACTAAAAGAGAATTGCAACAGTAATTTACAATTTTATTTTTCCCTTCTGTGGGGTCATGAAAAGGTTATTTTTAGAAGTGGATATTCCTAATGTCACACATTTCTAGCTCTTTGGAAATGTTTTTGATTTCACCAGGAAGCTATTGCACCAATATCAGTTCAAAACGTCAGCAAGTTGTCTGTTTGAATAGCTACCACGGAAATGTTAGTCCTGCCAACTTATTTGTGTTGTATTCTGGCTTCTATGCCATTGATCTGATACCCAAATTCAGGGCTGGGCAACTCCACAAGGAATCTCGTCACTGTCACTGAAAAGATTTCTGGTGGGAAGGAGACTGCAGCTAATAGATCTTGTGCAGGGAAAATGTACAGAAATAGGAATTTATCTATTTAAAGAATTCACAATCAGCTTTTATTGCAAATTACTTTACTTTGCCCACAATGGTTTTTTTAAGACCTAACTAACACCTACATTATACTGCATGGTGTCCAACCAGTTTCAACATATGATAGATTCGTGAAAAGCAGAGCACATCTCCCCATGCAATTTGATGCTACGTACTTGAGATTTAATGTTCAATAGTTCATTTAAAGTCTTCTAATAATTATTTCTCAAATGTTCCTTTGTTTAGATCTGAGGTGAAAATCCAATTACTATATTTAAATTTGGCCATGAGCTTCAGGTATCTCTGCATCATCTTCAAAATACTTGATGTATCTGAGGTTTGTTAGTGGCTAATTTAGTTGGTTTCAAAAATTAGCATGGCGGAAAATGCATATATGTGATTCTTTTTGGATTTTGCTATCTTTAATTTCACATAGTTAACTTTTTTAAAGGCTCAAATCTCCTGACAGATACTGGGCTCTGGTTGTATGTATGACTGACTATATTTGGAAGAAGTTATTAATCTGGTTATGAAGTGTTTTGTGACCTGGGTTAATGGGTGTGGTCTGAATGCAATCTTTTTCTTTTTGTATTTGCAATAGGGATATGATTTAAACTTTTTTTTTCTAAACTGGGAATACTCAATTTTATCATAAATCTAGAATGTCATAGACATGTCTGATCTGTGTCTCGAGTTAAAACAGCAAAACATAGCTGGGTCTGCAGGAAAACATGTTTATTTCCATCTTTTATGTAAAATAATGCACTAATCTTAGAAAAATCTACAGTGCGGTATTTGAAAAAAAAACAAAACTTCTGAAGAAATTTGTTTGTCAAATGTATTTTATAACATTTTCTTCAATGGGGATACTGTGGTGAAAGCTACTGAATATTTTCCACTGTTCGTTCTTTAATCTTAAAATGTGCTGCTGAATATTATAATTGCAACGTAATTAATTTGTCATTTTCTTAAAAAAAGACATATACATCGGTAATCTCTCAATTATCCCTAAATCTGACACACAAGAATGCTGTTAGAAGGAGGGGGTTTCTGTGCATTTAAATTGTGCTTGAAGAACGTCAGTATTATTCGCAACAGCCAATCCAATCCAATCCAGTACCAGTTTATGGCTTTTAAAAATACTATTTTTGCTTGTTACAACTTTGCATCGTTGACAGGACCCTACAAAAGGGTATAAAGTTTTTGATTTCACTGTTCCTACTGAAAGTGGTATCCACTCGGTGTTTCTTTTTGGATCGTGGTTTAGAATTATGTTTGTTTGTGCATTGCCTAATTGCAAACCTATTTAAATTGAATGATAAACTTTATAAAGACGTTCATAATGGAATATAAATTAATGATTTTGCATGTTTTCATATTTTAAAGATATTGGTGAAAAATGGCAACCCAATGCAATGCAGCTTGAAGCAGAACTACTGGCATGCCAAGAACTGTGAACTCTGGCATTTTAGTTGTACAATAAATAAAAGGAATGATGAAGATTGAAGTGTCTTAATTAATGATTAGTGGCTTCATTCAAAATTAGTTTCCCATGTTAATACAACATAACCAGGGCTAACTACAGGCTGATATACCTGGATATTCTTCCTTGGTGAATAAGACAGGTTTGTGTATTAATATTTCAGCACATAAACCTAGAGCATGAGAGTACACCTTTTGTCGGGTGCAAGGTTCTACATCTGCTCTGCCCCATTTATTTACGTCCTAATAATTACACACTTTTTTTTCCACAAAATTCATTCCATGTGTGTGCATACTCCTGGATGCAAGGTTAAGTCCTAGCATAATGCAGCATAGGAGGGTACTGAATTCATAATGTGTTGGCTCTGTGCAGTTCATCCAGTTAGTCTCATTTCGCTTTCCCAATTGCACTGCAGATCGTTAAATATTTATCCAATTAACTTTACTATGTTACAGTTGACTTTGCATCTACTACCCTTTTCGGGCAGTTCTGAAATCCAAATCATAGCTTGTGTGAAAATGTTTTCCTCATTTCATCATGACAACTGTGATGCCTTTTTTCAAGGTAACTGCCCTAGGATTGTACTGTTTGTCCCTCCTGTCTCTCACCTCTCTCTCTTGCACACATGCCACCCCTCTCATGTATGCAACCTCCTCTCTCTCGCACGCCCCTGACTTTCCCTTCTTTTGCACAGGTGGAGAACATTTGTAGTCCTCTGGTGTTGGAGGCCAAGGTTCAAGTTCTACCTGTTCAAGAGGCATGTAATAAAACCTCCGAACAAGTTGATTGCAAAATATCTTCTTCATTGCTGTCCTTTTTTTCTTTTCCTAAGACCATTTGAAGACTACAATGTCTGTAGTTTTCACTTCTCAACAACCTATCCATAATGCTAAATAAAAAACGAAAGAGCTGTGGATGCTGTAAATCAGGAAAGAAAACAGAAATTGCTGGAAAAGCTCAGCAGGTCTGGCAGCATCTGTGAAGGACAAAACAGAGTTAACATTTCAGGTCTGGTGACCCTTCCTCAGTTCTGAGGAAGGTAATTTCTGTTTTCTATCCCTATGCTAATTGGCTCATCCTTTTAGTTTGTGCTGTCAGCCTTTTGGTTATTTTTAAAAATTATATCCTTCTTGTCGCCATTGCATTTGCAGGAAAATAGTCTACTGGCTTTGTATGGATGTTTTTATTTTAAAAGTCCAAGTACCCACATAATTCAAACTGTTATCCACAAACAATATATATGATGCAGCAGTGATATAAGCAAATCATGTATAATCTTTTTGTCCTTATTGTTTCCTTGTTTGGTTCCCCCTGGACATTTTACACTCAGTTATAGAGTCATAGAGATATACAGCATGGAAATAGACCCCTTCGGTCCAACTTATCCATGTTGACCAGATATCATATATAAACCTAGTCCCATTGGCCAGCATTTGGCCCATATCCCTGTGAACCCTTCCTATTCATATACATCCAGCTGCCTTTTAAATATAATCATACCAACCTCCACCACTTCCTTGAGCAGATCATTCCATATATGCACCACCCTCGCTGTGAAAGAGTTGCTCATCGGTTTGACTAGAGCAACCTTACTCCACAAAGTCTTGCAAGCAAATGTCTGCACCTTTGAGTAGCCTCAATGGCAAATAAATTCAATCCAGGTAATTGTGAGGTAATGCAGTTGGGCACAACAAACAAGGCAAGGCAATTCATGAATCGTAGGAACCTGGGAAGCACTGCGGATGAAAGGGACTCTGGTGTGCCTGTACGCCAGTCCCTTTAAGGTAGTGGGACAAGTAAATAGAATGGTTAAGGTGGCATATGGAATATTTGCCTTTATTAGACCATAAGACATAGGAGCAGAGAAAAGTCATTGAGCCTATCAAGTCTGCTCCACCATTTAATGAAATCATATTGATCTGGTCATCCTCAACTCCACTTCCCTGTCTTGTTTTCCTTACTGATTAAAATTCTATCCGAGCCTTGAATATACTTAATAACCCAGCTCCAACAGCCCTCTGTGGTAAAGAGTTTCACAACCCTCAGAAGTAGTTCCTTCTTATCTGTGTCTTAAATGTGCAGTCCCTTATTGAGACTTTCCCCTCTGATTCCACCCACCTCATTTGGACATCACTTTTGCTCCTTTACTATATCCAGTACTTCTCTGCCTGCAAAATCAGTGATTTCTGGAAAAGCTCAACATGTCTGGCAGCCATATATGGAGTGAAAGCAGTGTTAATGTTTCAGGTTCATAGAATCGTTGGTGTGGAGGCCAGCCATTCAGCCCTTTGAGTCCATACTGACTCTCCGAAGAGCATCCCATCCACATCCACCCCCTACCCTATCCCTGTATTTCCCATCCTAAACAGTGCAGGCATAGCCAATCCACCTAGACTGCATATCTTTGGACTGTGGGAGGAAACCAGAGCAAACCCATGCAAACACAGGGAGAATGTGCAAACTCCACACAGACAGTTGCCCAAGGCTGGAATCGAACCCAGGTCCCTGGTGCTGTGAGGCAGCAGTTCTTGCCACTGGAAATCTCCAGTGATGCTTCTTCAGAACTGTCTTTGACTGTTGACTGTATTCTGTCTTGCTGATGGTCATTGTCCAGCATTTGTGCACGGCAAATGTTACTTGCCACTTACTAGATGAAACCTGGACGCTGCACTGACCGATTTAGTGTCTGAGAAACTGAATAGTGCTGAAAATTTTTGTGTACTGATTAGCAAATGTCCACAGTTCTGACCTTACAGTAGGGGGAAGCATTGACAAAGCAGTTGGACATAGCTTGTCCTAAGACACTACACCAAGGAACTCTTGCAATTATGTCCTGGGATTGAGATAATTGACCTCCAGAAAACAACAGCTGAATACCTTTGTGCTAGATACAGATTATTCACTCCAATGTGGGTCATCATGATTGTATCCTTCCCTCTGAGATCCTTTCATGCCAGTTTAAGAGAACAGAAGTTATGCTGAAATGTCTACAACATTGGTTAGACCACACCTAGAATGTGGTGTCTAGTTCTGAAAACCACACTATAGGGGGAATGTGATTGCATTGGAAAGAGTAGGGAAGAGATTTACCAGGATGGTCCCTGTGCTGGAGAGTTTTAGTTATGAAGAGAGATTGGATAAACTTATTTTCATTGGAACAGAGGAGACTGAGGGGGACGTGATTGAGATGTATAAAATTATGAGGGTTATAGACAGGAAGAAACTTTCCCTCTTGATGGAGGGATCAATGACCAAAGGGCATAGATACAAGATAGAGGACAGGAGGTTTAGAGGGAATGTGAGGAAAAGCTTTTCCATCCAGAGTGCGGTAGAAATCTGGAACTCACTGGTAAGGCTGGAGAGACAGAAACCTTCATAACATGTAAGGTATTTTTAGATGTGCACTTGCCATGTCAATGCATATAAGGAAGTGGGCCAAGTGCCAGAAGATTGGATTAGAATAGGTGGTTGCTTTTGACTGGCACAGACTCGGGGCTTAGGGCCTTTTGGTGTGCAGTGCACCTCTATGATCCTATGACAAGTAGGAAAGTGTGCCTTTATTGTGAGAGGAAAAGTGTGTGTGTGTACGTGCAAGAAGGAAATGCATGTGAATGTGAGAAAGAGGGACTGTGAGCGTGTGTATGAGAGGGAAAGTGTTGTGTGTCTATGTGTGCGTGCATGCGAGAGGGAATGTGCGCACGTGTGTTTATGAGGGGGAGGGAATGCATACATGTATCTGGGAAGGGGAAATGGAAAGTGTGTATGAAACAGAACTGTGCGTGTGAGGTGTGATTTTACTTTTTCATTAACTCGATTGGTACATTTGTTTTAAACAGTACAAGTTACAAGTTATGAAGCATACGAGACAGGAAACCAACTTATTTCTGTCTGTCTGCAGTTGGCAAACCCCAACACGATAACTGCCAGGTAGTTTTGCAATATTGTATTCACACAACACAAGAAGTCCTTAAAGGTGGACACTTTTAATGTCAAAGCACATACAACACACCTCTCCCAAGGCAGTGATAGTAGGAACTGCAGATGCTGGAGAATCCGAGACAACAAGGTGCAGGGCTGGATGAACACAGCAGGCCAAGCAGCATCATAGGAGCAGAGAGGCTGACGTTTCGGGCCTAGACCCTTCATCAGAAAAGGGGGAG